GTTCCGTGATTGTCCTGTGGAGTGGGGATGGTGCAGGGATTTGCAATCCTTCATTTTTGTATTTAAAAGCCATAATAGGTGAGTTTTCTTACCTTGTATGCTAGTCAACATGGTGATTGATGTGTATAGTTATGCAACTCCTTTGTAATTTTTTTACACAGGCTAGTTCTTGAGCGTCCTGAATATGGTTATGCAACTTATTTCTTTGAAATTCTGCAATCAGTGCCAATAGAATGGCAGATCCGAAGGATGGTTACTGCTATGAAGCTTAGTAGCTGTGGCAGGACCGCTCTTATTGAAAACAGGCCACTATTGGTAAGCTTTTTTGCTCCCTGTTTCTTTCACCGTCTTGTGCAGCAAAACTTGTGGCTGACAGTGTGTGTACAAATGCTTATGTATATCTTCAACCTATCAAAGTAAATTTAAGGTCGCCATCACCCAAGTTGTTAACTGTGTGTTCAGTTCCAGCAAATCTTATGTTTATGATGTTCGTTCTGCTTCCATTGGTGTAATCTAAATATCTTCTTGTTCAGATCGGTGAAGATTTATCAGAAGGTGAGGCGAAGGTTTTGCAAGAATATGGTTGGATACCAAACACTGGGCTTGGGACGTTGCTGAACTACCGCGATCGGGTGGTTCATGACAGGTGGAACGAGAAATATAGCACAGATTGGAGGATGAAGATTGGAAAGCTTCTAATGAATGGTTATTCTGAGGGGGAATTGATCATAACTCATGTTCCACTGAATTCAGAAGAAATCAAGTTGGAGAATCCTTGATGAGATCTCCACTGTATACATGGGCTTGTGGTGGCGTCCATAGACAACCTTCCTCTCGGTGGGTGTTGTAAAGTTGTAGTGTTCACCATGGATATGTCAACATGCTGTGGGTATTCATGTGCACCTGTATGTATGACATAGTGTTCGTTTAGCAGGCGCTGCAAAGATGGGGTAAGGCCAGCAGTCGCCATGTGAATAACCTTATTATGTCATAGGAACATGGAGAAGGCTGCTAGCGAGTACTTAGCTAGTCTCATCGAAACTGAAATGGTGTACTGTAGCGTATGGGTCCTGGAATAAGTGAACAGTACTGTATCTGCTGTAACAAGAAGATGGTTTATCCATGATGACATTAACTTTTAAGTGTTTTGGTATCCTTGTTGAAATGGAAATGTTGATCATCTGACGTTAGCTGGCACGGAGGAACTGACCCGACGCCGCACGGGGGCTGAGCTGTGGCAGCGACCGTGGGGAAGTTCCTCCTCTTTTTTTAGTTCATTTCGTACTGGAGTTATGGGGGATAATCATCGCAGGTATTGGTTAGCGTGGGATTGGCCAATTCTTGTCAGCTTAAAAAAATAAGCTGCCTCCTTGCCAACTTTTTTCATAAGCCATCTCTTTATTTATTGAGACTTCTAAACTAGTTATAGAATAACTAATTTAGAAGTCTAAACAAATTTTAGGTTTAACTTGCCTAAAAGAATTGACCCTATGTCTTAGCAATGGTTTGCGCTTGATTTTGATCAAAGGGGAAAGCACTGTGTGGTCATGTGTTGCTTCACCAGATCGATAGAACGAGCAGATGAAGGAGGCGAGGATGGTAGAGTGAAGGCTATTTTTTTTCTCGAAAACAAAAGAGATGAATCCCATAGGATTGTCGTCCTACTGATTGCAACAGAGGGGATCTTACTGATTGTAACAGAGGGGATGAGGAACATTTGCAATGTTCATCATTGTTTGTGTATCCATTACGGCAATCATTGTGTATTCATGACGGTAGTTTTGCTTGTTCATATAGGTGTTGCCTCTTGCTGATTGCAACAGAGGGGATACGAAAGATTTGCCATGTTCATCATTGTGTATTCATCATGGCAATCTTTGTGTATTCGTGACGGAAATTTTCCTTCTTCATGTACTCCCTCTGATTCGAATTAAATGACACAACTTCAGCACAACTTTGTACTACAGCTGCGTCAATTAATTTGGATTGGATGGAGTGGGTATTACCATGGCAATTTTCTATGACATATTTTAGGCTGGCAACTTGTGGTCTCAAAGCCTTGTTTTGAGCTATTTCCCCTTTCATGGCCACGTTTAGTTGGCAACTTTGGAGTAGATCTATTGTGTATTTGATAGGTTTACGTGGCAATAATAATGTTGCACACATACACTAAATTATCAACATAGTTACCATACATGATAGTCCATTGTAGCTTTATTTTAACTTAGTGTGGCAACTTTTTTGTATAGGGGGTTAACACTTTATCATGACTAGTTTTAAACTCTATTATATAGGTTGTCAAGTTTTCCTCCCCTAACCCTAGGACGCTAGGAAAAACTCTCCCCTTCAGACCCCACCAACGAGTCCGTGGGTTTGTCTTCTCTCTCCCAGCCACTCCGGCGGTTGGTGGCGGGGAGGGGAATCTCGGTGTCTTCGTTCCAGTTAGTAGTTCAGATTAGGATTTTTTAACCCTAGCAGGTGCAACACTCGGGCAGATGGCGGTGCTTCTTCAAGTTTGTCTTCCGGGCTCCGATTCTTCTCGAGTTCGTCCGTCCGTCCTAAGTTAGCGGAGCTTCGAAGCATATTCCTACCGTCTCTTTGGGGCAGTGAGTTCCGGGTCTCGTCATGTGGCGAGATTTGGTGTCTGGTGCTTCAGATCTATGCAAGGGTTCAATGGCGATGACCGCAGCTCCAGGACGTTGGTCCTTAGGGGCACGTACACGAAGACTTCCCGGCTGTCATTGACAGGGTCAATCCGGCTCTGGTAGAGGAGCGGCGACAACAATCCGTTGGTGGCTCGTTCTGGCGGCAGTAGTGGTTGTTCGGTAGTCTCGGAATCTCGATGTAATTTCTATTATATTTGAGATGCTTTGTACTTTAACTGACCTTTTATAATAGATCTGATCCTTTTTCCGAAAAAAGTCTCACTTGGCAAATGTTTGTACATGTCACATAACAAATGTGGAAAACGTTTTGTTTACTACAACATGACAATGTTCAAGAAAAAAAATGTAGCAGTCACATGGAAAATTTATGAAGATTCATTATCTAGAAAAATGATTTTTTAAGAAAATGTTAGGAGTGATCACATGGCAAATTTAAGGGGGAAAATTGGTCTCTTATGTCATGGAAAAATTTAGGAAAATTGTAACAAGTCACATGGTAACATTGTGAAAAATGTTTTAGACTGATCACATGGCAATTTTTAGGTGAAAGTGTGTTCTGTACAACATGACAAATGTAGAAAAGTTTGTGTCATACATCATGACAAAAATTAGAAAATTTGTAATAGTCACATGTCAAATTTATGAAAATGTGTTGTTTAGAACATAGCAAGTTGTGACAATGCTTGGACTAATCACACGGCAATTTAAGGGGATAGTGTGTTCTGTACAACATGCCAAATTCAGAAAAGTTTGTTACATATGCAAAAAATGGAAACTTTGTAACAGTCACATGGCAAATTTATGAAAATGTGTTGCGTAGAATCTGGCAAATTTAGAAAAAGCTTGTTTCATACATGATGAAAACAAATTAGAAAAATTATATATAGTCACATGGCAAATTCCGTGAACATGTGTTGTGTAGAACATGGCAAGTTGTGAATGTGTATGGACCGATCACATGGCAATTTTAGGGGGGGAAGTGTGTTCGGTAAAACATGACAATTTTTGAATTGTTTTGTTACATACATCATCCTAATTTTTCTTTTAAAATTGTAATAGTCACATGACAAATTTGTGAACATGTGTTTTGTGGAACATGGCAAGATGTGAATGTGTTTGGACTGACCACATGACAATTTTTAGAAGGAAAGTGTGTTCTGTACAAAATGGAAAATTTTGCATTGTTTTGAATACATCACATGGCCATTTTTAGAAGAAAAAAAAACATTTCATGGCAGTTTACTTGTATGGTTGCCATTATCTAAAATCCTGAAAACACGTCAGTTTACATATATGTGTATGTGAAAATCCTGAAAACATGGTAACATGGCAAATTTTGTAACTTCTAGAAATTTGTTTCACAGCAGATTCATGTCAGTTTAATTTTGTTTCACGAATTTTGTTCTCTCAAAAATGACAATTTAGATATCATGGCTAATTTAATTTCAGAGCCATGGCAAATTACTTTCCTGAACAATAGCAAAAAATTTAAGAGCCATGGGAAATTTCAGAGCACGTCAAAGTTTTGTCCACAACATGGAAACGCTTTTGATTTTTTAACTATATATCCGTGTATGTATGAAATGATATGTTTATTACTTAGAAGCATGGCAACTTTTGTGTGTAATTTTTATCATCCAGACATGTAATTTTTTTTACCTATACTTTTGAAATCGTGTCTATGTAGTAATTTTATTTTCACCCGCAAAAAAAATACTTTTATTTTAAAAAGGATGGGGAGTTTTTTTAATGTTATTTAGCTAATTAAGTCGGGTGCAAAATCTCAAGATGTCAACTCTAGGAAATTTTAATAAAGATAACACACATGATTTTTATGAATCGAATTGTAAAAGCTCGCCATTTGTTCAATTTCAACAATTGAAGTTAAGTGCAAAGTAACTTGATCCAAAAGTTCATCAGATTGTCGCTTTGGTGGTTAGTTGGTGGTAGTCATCGAAGGTGAAATAATCTTTGTGGCTTCACTGGTTAGTTTCAGTACGTAACGAGTGTTTGCATCACAGTCGATATTTTTTAAACGAGGCAACGGTTTGCCATTTTCATTAAGCATAAAAGAATTGCTAGGTTAACTAGAGGGAATCAGGTGAAAATCATGATTACATCATAATCTTCTCAGACAAATCTGGAGCAGCTATCTTAGAACATCCTGATGGACTGATTTTGGTAAAGAACCTGACATCCTACACCCGAATCCATGATGACTGGATAACCAGTGCCCAAATACGATTGGCGCACGTCAGAAGTACACATCATGAGACATTCTACACCTCCTCGGGACTGAAACGAAACCGCGACTCTGAACTTCTGAAGAAGATGTCACTGCCCGTTCCTGCTCTTGAGCGCATTGGAGACCGCCCGGATGGTCGACGGCGTCGTCCGGCAGCATCCTCCCACGAGGCTGGCGCCGGCCTCCTGCCACCGCCTCGCCATCACGTCAAAGCTCTTGCGGCCGAAGCACTCCACCGGCTGTGTCAATTTCACATCACAAAAGGCATCAGCCGCTCGTTAAAGAACATCATATGTCAGTAAGTAATAACTAGAATGAAGTACACGACGTAGCGTCAGTCGTCTACTCACCAGCCACCTCTTGGCTCTCCCGTCCCAGACCTCGCCGCTGTTGGGGTACACCGCGATCGCCTTCTTCGTTTGCTGTTGGAGAATCAATCACGAGCAAGATGCATTATGTTTGAGATTTCGGACTACCGTAGAACAGGTGTACATTGTGGAGAAAACGGTGACCGGCTACATAGTTGCTGAACAAACAGGGAAGAAGCTGCAGACCTTCTTGAAGTCGCGTATGATGCCCTCCACGAACTGAGGCGGCGTGCAGTTCACCCCCACGATGGCGACCTTCTCGCTGGCGTTGAGGATCTCGAGGCAGTCCCCGAAGCTCTCCCCCGAGCAGAGGTGCTTGCCGTCCACCGAGCTGAAGCAGATCCACGACGGCACCTGGATGTTCTCCTCCTCTAGAAGCTCAACCAGAGCCTACAAAATGTGTTCGTTCCTTTCAGCAAACGAACTTGACAGGCCTTTTTAAACCAGTACTCTCCATTAGGATCACAGCACAGAGCATACCTTAGCCTCCATCTTGTTGGGAATGGCCTCGAACGCGATCAGGTCGGGCCCCGCGTTCGCCAGGACCTGCAGCCGGCGCCGGTGGAAGTCCTTGAGCTTCTCGGACGTGACGTCGTCTCCGTACGACCCACTGCAAAACAACCAATTGCACGATGACTGTAAAACGCGTGTGCTTCTCAGGATGGTTCAAGAGTTCATTCATTTGCAGTGCTTCTGCGACGGAGCTGGTGTGTTATTTACCTGTACTCTGATCCATCCGCTAGGTAGGCTCCGTAGCTCCCGATGGAGGCGGCAACGAGGGCGCGGTTGTAGACGGGCTTGGAGCTCCGCAGCGTCGACTTCCAGAACTCGTCTCGGGCCTCCCGTGCCAGCTGGACGCTGGTTCGCAGTAATCCTTCTGCCTCCTCCAGGAGCAGTCCTCTGGCCAGGAACCCCGGGATAGTTGCCTGCAGAAAATGGAAGGCATAATGGCATTTTTCTTAGGCTGGAAGATGATAGATTCAGAGAATTTTTATGGGAGCCTCTTATTCATCTGTGTTTGAAATTTGAACTTTGAAGCCATAGAAGAGAAGCGGTAGAATAACGGCAATGATGATAGTACCTGGTAGGACGAGGAGATGATGACGTCGGCACCAGCTTCAAGATACTGCATATGGACCTGCAGTTGTAAAAAGGAAGATGTTAGGTTCTTCACACCAAAACTTCTATCTTATATTTTGGTACGGAGGTAGTAAATTTATATGCATGATAAACTTTTCCCGTAAAAAAAATCTCCTCCTAGTGTCTATTGTGGATCTGGACCATCTGCACACAGAACACACACCGTTAAGAAAACATGTACTCCCTCCATTTCACAATGTAGCGCTTCCTCTATCCACGTGCTTCAACTTTGACCGTAAATTTAACTACCAAGACCGATTGCGGCGGGAGCAAAAATTATATCAATGAATTCGTATTCGAAAGAAGTTATCAATTATATAATTTTTTTTCTCGCCGCAGTTGGTCTCGTTGGTTAAATTTATGGTCAAAGTTAGACCTCGGAAAGCGTGGGCGCACTATATTTTGGAATGGAGGGAGTATGTGCCATTAGACTCAAAGCTAATTCAGCATTTTTGGGCTAACTACAGGTTTATTTTAAGCATTATTTGCTACTATCTGTCACTGTTATGGCCCGGTCAAGCTGTTTGATAATCTCCTAAAAACTCTATTTTGGTGATGCAGCCATGCAAAAGTACAAAAATGCCCTTGACACACTCTTTCTTCCATGCAGCAAAAATATGAAGCCCATTGCAAGCAAATGCCATCCAAATAAGTTTTTGTAATATATGCTATTCATACAAAGCAAAAAATAATTAATATTTCAAAACGGCCAAATATTTATTTGTTTCTTGTTGTGTTGGTGGCTGTAAAGCAGGGCGAAAGTCTTTTTCTGTAATATTTATTAGTTTTCTTATGGTCACTTTTTCTCAATATTTTTCATACGCTATTCGTTTCTAAATCAAGTGCACATGATGGTATTTTAATAGTACTCCCGCTGGACGGTCATTGACCTGCCGACACCAGTGCAAGTTGTCGAACGTGTAAACGAAACTATCAGGACAGTGGTACTCAACAAGCAATGGCTGAAGTTGAGTTAGCTTCGAGATTCATCTGAAGTTGACGTTTTGCAACACAATTCAGGCGTACGCACTATGAAATTCATGCGATGAAGCAGTCAGAGTCAAATTGCTGGGACTTATAGAGACTTATAGTTAGGAATGACCATGTTTGGTTCAGAAGTCTTAGAACTTTTGTAGTCCCAACTTATAAGTCTCAAGTCCCTAAAAAGTCCCTATATGTTTGATTCCTGCGACTTAACATGGACTAAAAGACCATATTACAACTATAAGTCCCTCCTTAAAAGTCTTATTTCATAAGTCCCAAATGCTCACTTTAAGTCCTTATAAGTTTTTTCTGTTTGGTTTAGATGAGACTTATAGGGACTTTTTAAAGTCCCTAATCCGTGGAAACAAACACCCTCTGAGGCTACTTGGGCATAAATCTCAACAGCGGGAGAATGTTGGACTCTCGATCGTTGGTAAAAGTGGGTGATCTCTTTTCCCCTTTACCCTCTGCCCGTCAAAAGAGGTAGGTGATCTCCTCTTCAATCCCTTTTTAAATGCTATATAAAAGGTAGGTAGGAAAATGAAAGCAGCGTTATTGCCCCGGTCATCGCCAAGATTGATTTATTCCACTTTTGATCTGCTCATGTTAGCTGTAGAGATAGAGTTGACCCGTAGCTAACACTACAATTTAAAAGCGCAAACCCTCGCCACATGCCAAACCGCGTCAGACACGATACTAGGTACACGTACGATACTAATTTATCAGCTGGTGCATCGTATTGTGAGGTGATGATGCGGCGAGCACGACGAGAGACAGATCGTGGTCATGAACTTGTGATGATAATACGAGGAGGCAGGCATTGTGCACGCCGGCACGTCGGCCGGTTGGGTGAATGGGTTACCTCCTTGATGAGGTGCGGCTTGGTGATGAGGCAGGCAGCGCTCCAGAGCGAGTCGTTGATGTCGGCGCCGAGCGCCTCCAGCTGCGTGGCGAAGCCGCCGTCGATCACCGCGCACCCGCCGGCCTTCTTCACCAGCTCCTCCACCACCCCGGCCATCTCGCAAACCAAGGGACGGGCGATTACACGGCCGCACAACCACAGCTCGATCTCAGCACCAACCGCAGGCCAGGACTCGAGGAGGGCGAAGACAAATGGGTACGAGAAGCGGGTAGGGAGACGGAGCGGTATATATAGCGGCGGGCGAACGGCGGTAGCTAGTAGGCTGGCCGGCTGGCCGGCTGGAGGCGGGGATGGAGGGAGGGAGGGAGGGATTGAAAGGAAGGTTAGGTGAGGGGCGACTTAATTTGGGAAGAAGCAAGGCAGCGGATCGCGCCATCAAAGGCCCAACGCACGCGGACCGGTTCGTGGGGTAGGTGCAGTCGCGGGCCGGTTGACGTCCAGGTTACTCCCAAGCGTTGCGTTGGGTGTTTGAACGGCGACGGCAAAATTGACAAATTTGACCTCAAAGCAAAAGTATTTCATAAACTAAACTGTTTTTAAAAGTATTTCACACTGCTGACCCTTTTGTGTAGCGCCTAACAACAAGGCGCTGCACTCTACTGTGTAACTCCTTACAGCTAGGCGCTGCACTCTACTGTGCAACTCCTTACAGCTAGGCGCTGCACAGTGTAGTGCAACTCCTTAGAGCTAGGCGCTGCACAGTGTGGCGCCTAAGTGTTAGGCGTTGCATAGTAGAGTGCAGCGCCTTGCTGTCAAGCGCTGCACATTAAAGGTCAGCCGGATAAAATATTTTTAAAAACAGTTTAGTTTGTAAAATAGTTTCGATCTAAGATTAAATTTATGCTTTTTGCCAACCGCGACCAGGACACGTTTAGGCGTTACGCATGCATGGCGCGGAGTTAACGCCCGCAGCATGAAACCAGCTGTGCGGCCGAGTTAAGGCGTGCATGAAAGCTGGCTGGCGAGCTGCACGCTGTGGTGCAGCAGTTAAAAGGCCTGCATGAAACTGGCACGCTTGCAGTGCAGTGCAGGCGCAAGGGCCAGGCCAAGTAATTTTGTCTTCGGGCGAGCAGTCTTATACTCCCTCCATTCCGAATTACTTGTCGTAAATATAGATGTATCTAGATATATTTTAGTTATAGATACATTTATTTCTGCGATGAGTAATTTGGAACGGAAGAAGTAGTACTGTACTAGTACAAGGACCGTGGCCGAGTACTAGTTTATGAATTTTCCCTTTCATTGTACTATACTGGAGTACTCCAAAAGAAAACATAAAAACACCTCTAGTCTACTCTAGATGAAAAAAGTATATAACCCCCACAAGTATCCTGTTTCGGTCACTTCACCCCCTCAAGTGTAAAACCGGAATCTTAATACCCCTAACTTTCACAAACCAGACAAATCACCCCAGGTCCTCAAAACTGGTTTTGTAGATGGTTTTACTCACGTAGCATGCTGACCAGATTTGACTTAAGTTGCCACCTCGTTTTGGGACCCACATGTTAGTGTAACAATATATACCACGCCCATCTCTGATCTTTCCACTCCCTCTGCTGCGGCCCACTCTCTCGGCCGGCCGCCAGCGCCGAGCCAAGGCGCGCGCGACACGCAGGCTACTTCGCCACCGGCCAGAACAGCCAAAGGAAGACGAAACGCAAAAGGAGAAGCGTACAAAGGCAGCTACATGAGGCGCCCTATGGTGTTGCGAACGGGCTGGCCGCCGTCGGTGCCGAGCGAGACGATGCACTCATAGTCGGGGCCATCGATCCAGTGGAAAGCAGGCACGCCATGCACGTTGGGCTCCATGGCCTGCTAATGAGCGCGTACGTGTGCATGCATGCATGGTGACTTGGTGAGCCTCCCGCTCGTGCTTTTCTCCACCTCCACGGTTGATGGTCCTTAACGCTAGCCATGCCATCTCAGTGTGATCCACATCATGTAGATATACAAGATAGAGAGAGAAGAAAAGAACATTCCCACATCTTACACAGATGAGATACTCAGCAGCCCGTATAGTCGCTGCGCTGCTCCGGATCGACGGCAGCAGCCGGTTCGACGGTCTCCGACAACGATAATGGCCTCCGGGAGGGGAGGTTGCCTAGATGTCCATGGGAACACGGAGGTGCCGGAGTGCAAGCTGCGCGAGCTCGCCAGGATGACAAGGGCCGGCAGCTCCGGGCGCGGAAGAGTACGTCCTCCATCTTGTCCGTCAGCACCACGTTGATGCAGGCCGAGCATGGAGATCATGATCGGCGCGACGGCGCAGGTGGATCCTAAGAACACGTCCTGCTTTGGATGGTCTATGCCATGGCGCGGGGGCCACCTCGATGGCGGCTCGTTCTGTCGACATGATACCACCACCTTTACCGCGCCTCCCGCGAGTTCTCGGGGGGCTCCCAACTCAGGGCAACACCATGGCCTCGTCCAACTCGTCCTGCAGCTGCGACCACCCAGTCCTGGGCGCGGATGCCGGCTTCTTCATGCGTGCAGGTGAACTGTTCGGCAAAATGACGAGGCCAGTACAGCCTTTTCCGTCTCGCGCCGTAGGCAAAACTGCCATCAGAAACCGCTAAACAAAGATCAGGGGGTGATTTGTCCAGTATTCAATACTCTTTTTTTGAACATCAGTACAGACACAAGCGCTCATACATACGCGCACACACTCATCCTTATAAACGCACACACGCACACCCTACCCTTATGAGCACCTCCGAAAGACTGAGTCGGCATGTCATCTTGAAATTTACGAAGTCACCGTAGGCGCCTCGTCGTCGACGGGAACGTCTCCTCCCACTGAAAGCGCATCGCCGGAAATCTTGAAATAAATCCAGGAATAATGCAAGCACCAGGATTTAAACCCTGATGGGCTGGGAATACCACTGTCTCTCTAACCATCCAATCACAGGTTGGTTTGCCAGTATTCAATACTTGAGGGGATTAAAATCCTGGTTTTCAACGTTGGGGGTGAAGTGGACGAAACGGGATACTTGTGGGGGTTATCTATACTTTTTTCACTCTAGATAGTGCAAACGGTGTTTTGGTGCAGTCCTTCGTCAGGAACCACAGTTGCTCATGGACGACCACACCGACACGGGGAGATGTTGGGCAGGCCCGAGTATGACTGAGTTTGGTGGAGGTGCCACCAACTCACTCACCAAGAATCTGTTCCCACCAAGAATCTGTTTATTTGTCAATAAGTACGTGCGTCGTACACCGTGTGAAGATGGGAAAGAATCTGTTTTATTTGTCAACGATCAACGGTCCAAGCTTGAATCGGTTCACTTTTGACACAGACTAATTAACCAATAAGTCCCCCGCAAAAAAAAAATCAGTCAGGGCGCCACACTAGATACTTGTGAGAGTTTCCATGGGAACCTGATCCAGGAGGAAGACTTTTACCGATCGTCGCGATGTTGATTGCGGTGCGTCTGGTCGTCGAGGAACAGCTAGGTGGACTCTCTGAGTTTGAATGGAGTACAAGTCAGTCTGTCAGTGGATTTTATTAACGGAGCGTGGCGCCCTGGAGTTGCCAGTAGTACCAACCAACATGGATGGGTTGCCAACGAGAGCTCTGAGGAATGCATGCGCCTTTGCGTTGGACGGAGGGTTTCCAGCCGGGATAAGAGCTGTTGGTCAGGGGCACACCAACGGAAGCAGACTTTGTTTTGTTTTAGCGATGCGGCAAACCGCACATGCCGGGCGTAGGGCTTTGCGATGTGCGGTACGTTTGGTCCTCGACGAATTTTTGTGGAGTCGTGATGACAGAGGGGCCTTGAACGAGGAAACCATGCTGGCTCGCCGCCTCTGGAGTTAGCCGGTACAACGTGGGTTGCAACCAGGGCTTCAAGCAAAGTGCACCCTGGTTGAGGGCTTAGGCCAGCTGTAAGATATATAATTACTACTTCCTCCGCTTTTAAATATTAGTCTTTCTAGATTCCAATTAGCAACTATATACGGAATAAAATGAGTAAATCTACACTAAAAAATATGTCTACATACATCCTTATGTTGCAGTCTATTTAAAATGTATAAAAAGACTTATTTAAAAACGGAGGGAGTACTATATAGTACTTCATCTCCCCACAAAAAACAAGTACTTTCTCTGTCTCAAAATAAATGTCCCAAGCTTACAGTACACTTTTGCATTAAAGTTAATACAAAGCTGAGACACTTATTTTGGAGTGGAGGGAGTAGTAGGTCGAACGTACGAGTACATACTTACTTCATCGGTTTAAATTTAAAGTACATTTAAAAAAACCACATGTTGTTACAAACACGCATATATAGAAAAAAAAATCCTTGGGTGTCAAAGTCTTCTTCCCCCTTCATACATAGACGGCGCGGCATGAGCGTTGGCGGAGCCTCTTAGGTCTTGTACAATGCCATGTGCTTATGAGAAATAAACATGATTTTTCTGAAATAGCGGTGCTTATTTCTACAGGAGAGATGTCTAGTTAAGCGTCTACCCTCTACAAATAAGCATCGGTGCATAAAGAAAGACCTGTTTATTTCTCTCAGCATCTCACCTAAGCGTCTTGCGGTTCCAGCCAACTGCGAGACCGGAACGACGCGGCTTCCGATGAAAACCGCTCTTGACTGCGGTCTTGACGGATTATGGCGGCGTATGTGACGTCGTTTTCTTCTCGAGGCATCGTTGTTGCAGGTTACGTCGACTCGATCGGGATGTTTCAAGGGAAACCCTAGATCTAGGTCTATCGGATCGGACGCTGACGGCGCCTTCGATATCGTTCTCCCTTTTGAGGTATCGTTTTGGAGCAAATGTTGGCTGAAGGGGACAAGAGGAGGAGCGGTGTTACATCTACCGCAAGACCGATGGCGGATCTCGTCGGCATGGCGCTGTGGAATTTCGATGATGGGCGCGTGTGAAACGTGCAGAATGGTGACGTTGTCTGGTGCCGTAGTGGCATCGACGACAAGTCTGGCAAAGTCGATGCGTCAATACCTGTTTTTGAGATGGGTCGGTGGAAGATGACGGTGGAACTACAGTGCAAAAGGTGTTCCGGTGCAGTACTTGGTCAGGAACCACAGTTGCTCATGGACGACCACACCGACACGGGGAGATGTTGGGCAGG